GCCATGGGCTGGCCACGGAAAGCGTTGCCCTGGTGGCAGAGCGTTGAGGGCAACGGAACAGTGCTGGGGACACCCCAGGTAGGTAAAAGCCCAGGTCAGCCTGGCCACTCGCCAGGCTGGTCTGTGGGAGCTGGGCTGTGCTCCATCCCGTGGCCCAGCCGAGCTCCTCCGGCGCAGCCAGCTCACCCGGCTGCCCTTCCTCTCCCCACACCATTTCTCTTGGATATTGAGCTTCTTCAGCGGCTTCCCAGCCGGCGCAGCACCAACGCTCTGCACGGAGCTGCAAGCTGTGCTCTTGGCCAGGGGGTCCCCATGCATCCCACGGCACAGGGGATGCAGGGAGGGGTACCCCCCTGCTCCCCCATAGCGGCACAGTGCAGAGCCAGGTGGTCTCAGGGTGCTCCTGCATACAGGGACAGCTGGAGCCCAGCCTGGGGGGCTGGAGCAGCTTCTCCAGCCCTGAGCCCTCCCCTTGGCAGCCCCAGCTTTAGGCCTGCTGGAAAGCGAGGTAGGGAAACACCCCGCAAGCAGCAGCCCTCGCCAGCTGATCTCTTCCATCTACGACATCTTTAACTGTGAGAGGAGCAGGGCACAGCTTGGCCCAAGGGCTCCACAGGGCAAAGCAGCTCCAGCTTCACCCCTTCCCAAATGCTGATGAACCCGGGCGGGTGGAGGGGCCAGGGCTGGTTGCTCTGGGCTTGCCAACAGCCCCACTCGGGCTTGGGCTCAGCCCTGGGGGGCACCCAGCGCTGCAGCGAGCAGAGCCACCTCGGCTTTGCAGCAAAAGCTTTCCGGGGGTCTCTCCAGATGGCTGCTTGCTGTGTCGGTGCCCCATCCTCGCAGGTCCTGCTGCCGCCATCCCTCCTGCTCAACTCTGCCTTCCTCTTTCTCTGCAGAAACCCCTTTGCCAACGTCCAGCTGAAGCCAACGGTGACGAACGACCGCTCGGCTCCACTCATCAGCTGATCCGGGAGCGCTGGTGCCCGTCGTGCCATGCGGCACTCGCCGCCTCCTCCTCGCTGCTGTATGTCCGGCTCTCCAGGACTTCATTTTTTAGGCAGAGTTTATTTAATCCTGCTGCTTTGAAAGCCAAAGGCTAAAGCTCGTGCCCTAGTTCTCTCTTCTCTAGACCCAGCTTATTCCTCTCGGTGGCAGAGGGTTAAACCGCTGCCACGTAGCCTGTCCTCTGCCTGAGCAGAGCCAGCGCCATGGCAGCCCCCCCCCCTGCACCCCCAGCATGTCCCGTAGCCGGATTTGCTTCTAGGCTTAGCAGCAGCTCACCACGGTTGGGAGAACGGCCTCAGCTGGAAATTGCTCTCCAGAGGCGAGCTGCGCTTGGGGCTCACATGGGGTGGAGCAGTGATGGCAGAGGGTAGATGCTCCCCCTGCTCCCCTCAGCCCAGCCCAGAGGGACGCCTGGGACAGGCAGGATAGCTGGGATCCCCCGTGCAAGCCAAGGAGGTGGTGGGAGCCATAGGCAGCTCCCAGGCTCCTGTGAGACCCTGGCCACCTGCCCTGTGCTCCGCTCGCCCACCGCAGGCTGGAGGCGGTGGGACGTGGGCAGTGGGGTACTGGCACTGCAGCCCCCGCCGGGACGGGGACGGGGCTGGCTCCGCTCCCAGAGCTCCTGCAGCGCCAGGGCTCTGTGTACAGGAGGGTATTATGGTACTGCTGTAAAATATAAGCTAGAAAAAAAAAATACTTTTGGAGGTGAGGGCTCTGTTTAAGCGTGCCTTGGGGTGCCCGGGGCCACAGGGTGCCCGGTGGTTGAAGGGTGCTCCCCTCAAACAGGCTCTCCCGTCCAGACCTCTTGCTTGGCTGTTTGCTCTTCCTCTATTACTAGGGCTGCATGAGAGAGAGAGATAGATACAGATAAATATACATATATATATATATATATACA